TTTTTTTTTTTTACCGACCTCAAAATAACTTATCGTGCAATTAATTGATTTTTTGACTATCGCGACAGGCCTGTATATTTATATGTGATTTTCAGAGATGTGAGTGGTAGGTGAGGTTAAAGCTTCATCTTTCTTTTAAGAAAGGTGTTTTATGTTGATCAAAAAACTGTTTCTGTTTTCAAAGTGGCTTTAGTGAGTCAGCATAAATGAAAAGGAAGCCACAACAAAAGAGACTGGGAAAGCTTGGGTTCCTTTACTTCATCCCTTAATTAAGATTCTTGACAAGTCTGGAGGAAGTTTGAATTTGCTTTTCACCATTCAAATCCCCTTCTTTACCTTCCCTCCTCTCTACCCGTCTCAGGCTTGTGCACTAGACCCCATGCTGGACGACTCGGTGATGTTTGCCAAGCGTTTGAGGAGCGTAGACCAGCCCGTCACTCTGTGCGTGGTGGACGACCTCCCCCACGGCTTCCTCAGCCTATCGCAGCTCTCCAGGGAGACGAAGGAGGCCGCCAACGTCTGCGTGGAGCGAATTCGCACCGTCTTCACCCAGAAGGACACGCCCCCAGAGCCGCGCAAACACCGCAAGCTGGAACGGATCAACCGGGGCGTGACGACACTTTCCGGGGAAACCAGCTCTCTCCTTGTCGGCCCCGCTGAAGACGCCGAGCCAGCTGTGGGGAGAGCGGCTAAACTTGCTGATGGGGAGGACTCTGTTGCCACAGCAGCCCAGAATAACACTGACGCTGGCGGCATCGGTGCTTAAGTACAGTTTGATGGAATAAAAAAAGGACTTCAGTTCACCCAAGGAGTGAAAAGAGAAATAAAAGTAAAATAAAAAGTAAATGAATGTCAGACAGTTCAATGCCTAAAGATAAAGATGGTGCTCTGAATAAGAGGAAGGGGGTGGGTGGGAGCAGTCTAGAAGATTGCTCTTTGTTTTAAAGACAAAAAAGAGGAGGCGAAGCTCTGAAATGTATCCTCTTTGAGTTCACAGTTCTTATTACTTATCTGTGCATCTTTATGCACCGACGCAAATCTGACAGACAAAACGAACACACCCACAAAACAAGCCGCTGTGTTTCACAATGAGAGGATAATTCTGAAGCCTTTAAAATCAAAGCCACTCACCCACACACAGCTCACATACTCAGAGTTTGCGTTGGGCAGCCGAGGCTCAGACACAAAGCAGCACAGAACATTCTTCAGACGAGGCCTGAATGGGTGATTCACTGAGGCCGAGGCAGACCCTAATCAGATAGTGGTGGGCACACTGTATGCTTCTGTGTGGAGGCATCCTCATCAAAATGGCCWCTTGTCCTTTAGGGATCTTCTCTAAACCACACTTAATAACTTGCGTTGTCTTCTCCATAATGCCACTTTGGCAGTCAATACGGCTCGCTTTGTGGATCCTAACTATGTTGACTCTCTCGTAAATGGAATTAGAAAGCTAAACACAACACTCTAAACTGAAAGAACTGATTTCTTTCTTTAGACTCTCTTGCAGTTTTTTTTTCTAAATCTCACAGAAGACTCCACGGAGGAATGTTTTATTTATGTCACTTTATTTTCTTATTATTCCTAACTGACTTGTTTAAGCATTGTATTATTTAAATGCAATCATTTGCTGTTTATTTACTATAGTTTTATATATATGGTCTATTTACCTCTGTTTTTTGGGCTCAGCTGTTGACTTTTGTTAGTTTATTTTTTCAATTAGGCTCATATCCTGTTCATAGGAGTTATAGAATTGGAAGGAAAACATGAATATTATAAAGGGACACAGTGTCTCTTTGATAGGACTGTTTGTAGGCTGCATTGTATTGATTGTTACAATGAAACATTCATTTGAAAGCAAGCAAGTGCYGGGAAATGGTGGGTTCATTTTTTTGTAAGTTATTACATTGAGATGTGCTTAATAAGCAAATGTTTTTAGTATTTCTCAACTGGAAGTGGTTGCTTGGTATTCTCATCCTGTGAAAATGGAGTTGGAGTGCACCAGTTAAAAGCCCAGCTCTGTTATTACACATTTTAAACTTGACAATGTTGACTTMTTTGTAAGTCGTCACAGCCTTTCTTTCTTTTTCTGTTTTCCATTTTTTCCCCTTTTTTTTTCTGTGTCCAAGTACCACTTTACTCCAGCCAGGATATTTCTTATCTGACAGCTTGTTTTCTTTTTGTAACAAGTCAGAAGCTTTTAGGCAAATCTTGAGGAACCCTGCTGTCAAAGCCAACGGCAAAAGAAAAACTGTAAATGTCGTCTATTTGTGTTTGAAGTAAAAGTGGCTGGTGGCGCTTTCTGCTGCTAAAAGTTTGTTTTATTTGCTTCTGATGGCACATCCTCCTCAGTGTTCATTAAAGTAAACACAAATGTCTTTCAGGAGGTTTGTCCTTACATCAGGGCTCGAGACGTATAGCTGCCAACAATGCTGGCTCTGTCTGCCCTGCCCGGTAATAGACCAGAGGTTGCCAGGTCTGCAGAGAGGAACGCTGTTTGATGAATAGGATTTAGCTGACGCTCCGAGTGTGAAAYCCTCCTCCCCCCTGTGGAAGTGCAGGATTTTCCAGCCGCAGTCATGCTACAGGATTAGTCCATAGTCATTTCTGTCAGCTCGAAGTACTTACTGTAATATTTTTAGTCAGATTGATGGAAAGAAGTTACAAACTCTCTCGCTCTCTGAGATTTTGGGCTGGAGTTAGAATTTGCTTTCAAACCTGCTGTTTTTGCTCACTAAGCACTTTCGCTGCATTTGGTTTGTCGATATGTGCAAGTTTATTTTAAGCTCCTGCTTGTGTTATTGTTGTCGTTCCTTTTTTGTGGTTTGCGGATCAAACCGTGTGCTTTTACATGATTGGAGCAGTCGTTTAAGTGGGGGGTGGGGTCRTGTGTCGTGTGTTCACATAAAGACAAGCACGACACTTCCCTGTCAAGAGACGGTGCTGAGGGCCAACACTTTTTGTGTTATCAGGCCTCTAATGGACCACAGGTTTTGCTTGGAGTATGGAGAGTTTGGATATTTCATAACTACCGAGAACAGCAGCACAAATGAAGGACTCCAGAGCTGATTTTCAGGGGAAAAAAAGTTTTAAAAAAATGACACCTATTGTGTTTTTAACTCTGACATTTCTTCATGAATGAAAGTGATGGACACAGATTGTGTTTTGTTGAAATCTTTGGTATTTTGAGACAAAGTCGTGAATTCTTCAAATGCACTTAGCTTTAAGTTGAATTAATTCTCAGTGTTTATTTAGATTTGTGTTTCTCAGTCTTGTTATGTGTTTGGGGAYAACTTCAAGTTCAAATTGTGGAGTTAAAAACACTTCTGGATGTTCTCCTCGTGTGTATTTCTAGCCCTCAAGAGCTTGTTTGACTAGAGATTTATTTTTTCCGGTTCAYCAGTTCAGTAAATGCAAAGTGCAATACTGCTACAACAGTGAGGTGTTTATACTTGCGTAGTTGGTTACACACCAGCATCTTTTTTTGTTCCACATCTCGAGTCAGAAATGAAGTGCTGCAGCTTACTGATGTGCAATGTGTGTGACTCACCTCAAGCTTGGGCTCCCCAGATAATATACCAGCCCATAAACGTTTAGCTTTATTAAAGTCTGTCTGTAAAAATGTTAGTTCGTAAAACTTACCYCAACATGTTGTCAGAAATGTTTCCTTTTGACATGTTTTGCKTGTGGTTTTCATTTCAAGCAGAACCTAAGAAAGCAATCTTGCAGCAGATGCTCTGTCCTTGTTTGTTGCTGTTAACCGTTACCACTGAAACACAGGTGTTAGTCTGTGGATAACCTGCGCCTCATATGCAAATTGCGTCGCATCAATCCTGATGTAGAGTATGCTCGCTCATTAAAAAAGAGAGTAAGGAGGCAAAAAAATAAGCCATAGAATAGAAAAAAAGTGTTTATTTTTTATCTTTGTAAATCTGTATTTTTTGCTGTAAACACCACAAGTGCAAATCTGAATGTAAAAGAATGTATACGATGTTATAATTCATGCAGATTATTTAACTTTATTTTTAATCTGTTTTTTTTTCCACTGCATTTTTTGCAGGTTCCATATAGTGTATGTAATACACGATACTCGTCTCTTGCTGATTTTATCTAAATAAATATATTCTCCTATGAAAGCTGCTGTTGTTTCAGCTTCTTATTTTTGATCATGTAATGACAATAAAACACTTTTAGTTTTATTTACAGCTAATTTGGTTTGTTGTTTCTATTTTGTTGCCTTACAACCTGGAAATGTATTTGATTAAAAGTTATCCCAAAAACAATGATGGTTAATGATCAGAAATGAAAAAAACAAAAACAAAACTGGAATTAGTGTGTGCATATCTATTGAGCTTATTAGATCTAAAAAATATATTTCCTAAAGCCCACTGAGCTCTATTAAAGGGGTCTATAATTACTTACATTATACAGTATTTGATAAAATTTACTTAAACTGTAAAATAAAAACTGTAAAAGTAAGAAAGGTGCCATTTTATTAATGCTGCAAAGCATTTCYGAACAAGCTCTTATCCACCCTGAAGGTTAATTTTGGACAATATTTTAAGAGCAGTCCTTTTAAATGCAACCAGAACACCTTGACAGAAAGGAGAATGTAGAAATGACTCAGCCTGCTCTCTCTCTGTCTAGCTGCTCTGGTTTAATTTAAAAGGACWGATGTCAAACATTGTCCAAAATTAACCTTCAGGGTGGATAWGAGCTTGCACAAGAAAATCTAGTGAACGTCGTCATTTCCCAGGTTGGGCCTGTGATTTGTGGTGTTAATATGGTGCTGACAATATATTTTTTGAATTAAAAAAAAACTGAACAGCATACAGTATTTTTTACAGTTTTGTGTCTTACAATATAAGTAAATGTTTATCAATTAATGTCTAATGTCACAAGTAATTGTGGATCCTTTTAAATCTATTATCACGAAATGAAAAAATTATGTCATTACATATCGGCCAAGAGAGAGTTGTCCACCACACCTGGTAAAGAAGTCACAAATCATACCTGCAGGAGGCCAAGATAACCCCGATGGAGCTGGGCATCTCTTCTGTTCAAGCTACACAGAGCTGGCTTTCTAAAAAAAATATAAAAAAAAAAGTGGCAGGGAAAGGCTTTGGATTAAGAAAACACCATCAAAGACAACATCATGTCTGAGAACAGTGAACACAACTAGAGTGAAGCACGGTGGTGGCAGCATCATGCTGTGGGGATGGTTTCAGCAGGGACTGGGATATTGGTCAGGATGAAGTTTTCCAGACATATGAGACCAGGAAGCTCACCTGTGAGCAGTATGATGACTAAACACACTACTGAAGCAACACTCCAGTGTTATAAGACGCCTCCACGTGCCTTACATTTTTACCTTATTTGTGGCACCAAAGCCCAGTAAATAGTTTTAGTTGCATGCAGTGCAGTTTTCAGCATGCAACATATTTAAAAACATCTATACTGGAGAGTTTACCACATCAGAAAATCTTTGGATTGAGAATAAAACCAGTGGAGACGAGGCAAGAACGGAATCTGTGCTACTTCATTAGACCAGTGCGACCTCAGGTGAAAACATGATTGCAATCAGGGATGGCATTTTCATTGTGTGGACGTGTCGCGTGGTCAAAGCACGAGCGGAACGGGGCGCGCGCGCTCGACACCCACCACACCAATCCCTCCCCAATAAAGCTACATTTAGAGGCACCATCACACTATCAATCTTCAGCAGCTGGAAGAGGAGGCTGTAGCACCCGCGTGGATGCGCTTCGCCTCCTGCGCCGCTTCTCCGTGCGCGCTCACGAGGAGCGGGCAGAAAGGCTTCAAGGAGCTCGGAGAGGAGGCAGACCGAGCGGCTGCTGGGGACAGAGGAAGATGGAGGTGAGGGTCGGGGAGAGACTCCTGTGGCTGGCCGTCCTGTCCAGCGTCCTCTGCGTGGACTCGGTCCTCGGGAAATACGTGAAAGGCATCGTGAACACCAAAGAGGTGAGCTCCCCCGCCGGCGTTTCTTATTTTTGCTTCCTCGCCGTGGTGACACCGACACAGGCTGATAAGAGATGACTCGACTCGACCCAGGTGTCTGTGCTGAGACGAAGCCGCCGTAAAATGCAACTCAAGTTGTTTCGTTTTTTTCTTTCTTTTACAAAACGCCACGAAATATCACATTTGCGGTCGAGTATTCGCGCGTCATCTCCGTGTCTCCTGTTTTTTCACCCCTTTTTGTGCGTGGGGCACCAACGTTGTCCCAGTAAACAAATCCCACAAGTCCACGGCTGCCAATCAAGCTCCCATTTATATTTATTGCTATATATTTAAGGCACGTATATTGTTGATAAATATGTGGTCTTGTTGTTAACTGATTAGATGAGCCGTCACAGGTGTGTGCGTCATGTTTCTGGAGCACAGTGTTGGGTTTGTGGCGAACCCACAGAAACTAGACCCAACAATGCCTGGTTTGGGATCTGGTGTCAGCTGGATCAGCATCACGTTAGAACAGGGACAATAAGGCAGCTTGTAGTTGGGTTCCAGTTTGACATTTATTAACTGTAGGATGAGTGGATGTCCGTGTTGTTGCCAGGAAAGGCTTAGGATTTAATTGGTAGCTACTCAGTAAATCATTTAGTCTTTTCAGATTGTGAAATCAGCACTTTSAGAAGTTTAAACACCCCTTCCCCCCCAGATCACAATATAAACGTACAAAAAAGTCATATTGTCCTTGATCATTTAAATGTAGACACATCAAAAATGGATTTTAAATGAAAAATAATTACATTTGTGACGTTTGTATTTAACAATGATTGATACAACTGACTCTTTGACCTCCCCCCTGAGCTTTAGAAAGTTGCCTTCCAATTAGAGGGTCGGGGTTCAATCCCCAGCCCTTACCTCCTGAAGTGTCCTTGAGCCAAACCCTGATGCTCACTGGTGAATGAATCAGAAAAATGTCTGAGTGTCCTTCTAAAAAAATTAGCATATTGTGATAAAGTTCGTTATTTTCTGTAATGTACTGATAAACATTAAACTTT